GATTAGAAGATTGGCAGCAAAAAAGTGGAAGATGGAATTTAATCCTTCAAAGTGCAAGATCATGTGTTTTACAACTAGGAGAGATCCACCAAAGCGGGAATACGTATTTTGTGGACAAATCCTAGAAGAAGTGGAATCTCACCCTTATCTGGGGGTAGTGCTCGATAACAAAATGAGGTGGTCACCACACATTGAAACAATCACATCTAGGGCAAATAAGGTCTTGGGACTTATCAAGCGAAATCTGTGGAATTGTCCAAAGTCAGTGAAAGAAACCGTGTATATGACACTTGTGAGGCCAAAACTCCAGTATGCCTGTAGCGCATGGGACCCACATTACCAGAAAGATAAAGCCGCTCTAGAAAGGGTACAGCGGAAAGCAGTCCGCTTTGTCACTGGAAATTACGATCGAACAACGAGCGTGACGGAAATGCTGCAAGACCTACAGAGGGACACACTTGAAACAATGAGAAGACACGCAAGGCTCTCCACTATGTACAAGATGTGCCACGGCCTCCTAGATGGGGACTGGGGATTATTTGAAAACAAGCAAAGAAAGGAGAACCCAGGAAGCCATGATTTTAAATTTATTGTACCGAAAGGACATAAAGATATTTTTTAGATTTTCTTTTTTTCCCAGGACAATAACTGAATGGAACAAACTTCCAGAAGAAACTGTTTCCAGCCAATCCCTCTGTATTTTTAAAAGCAAACTAATTTAGTTTTCTTTTTTATCAGTGGTTTTTTAATAGTTTTTAATAGTTTTTAATAGTTTTTAATAGTTTTGTATATTCTGGTATAGTTTTATTTATTATTATCTTAGAGTTGGCGTGATGTCCCAAACGATTTTGCCAACATAACGATATTTAGATTTAGATTTAGATTTAGATTTATTAAAAGCTCAGATAAGGGGGGGCACCCGGTCATCCAGACCCTGAGATAAGGGGGGGCAGTCTCCAAAAAATTTTGCAGCCCTTCGGGCGCGGCCTCAGTTTGGTCTAAAAATAAGAGTGGGGCCCAGGCCTCCCAGGCTCCTCCCCAGATCTGCCACTGTTATATACAGAGTGGGCCATTGACCATAGCCCTACTCCAGTTTCCCAAAATGCCATTTGCCTAGTTCGTTGGCACAAGCAAACCTCTTTGAGATCTTAACAGTGTCCATAGAATCCACAATCAACAGTTGCATAAGTATATGCATAAGCATATGCATAAGTAGGCAGTTGTTCAAACAAAGGCTAAAAACAATACTGCTTCATGGTGCTTCTTGAGTCGTCGGAGGGTAGAAAATGTGCGCCCTGGATGCTACAACTGGTGTTCAATAAAATCTCAACATTTCCACTTGACCACTTTTAGGTTAAGAAACATGGCTGCAGTGGTGGTAGGGAAGGGGGTGGGGGCAAGTCCTCCCCCCCTATTTACATTACAGGCAATTCCCTTTCAAGCACACAGCTATGACTGTGGCTGAGTTTGTCTGCATGGTAAGCATATTTTGCATAGTATTGCCACAATTTGTAATAGCAATGACTATAATATTTTACAGTGAAACCTCTATTAAGCGGACCCCAATTAAGCGGACACTAAGCTGGGTCCCGAAACGGACATCTGATACCGTAAAATTCTGAAAATAAGCCCCGGGGCTTATATTTTTCAAAGGCCCTTTTTGAGGGGCTTATTTTTGGAGGGGCTTATGTTCGGAGGGGCTTATCTACGGAGGGAAATTTGCGTTTCAAAATCGATTGGGCTAGCCTTATAGTTGGAAGTAAACTTACCGTTTTTGCTTTGTTTTGCATGTATTTGAGGGCAATTTTCCAAGTACAAGCCCCCAGGGCGCTTATATTTGGAGGGGCGATTTAACGGAGGGTTTTTTGCGTTACCGGATTGGGGGGCCTATATTTGGAGGGGCTTATACATGGAGGAGCTTATTTTCGGAATTTTACGGCATTTCCCTTTATAACAAACCCCTATTCAGCGGACACCTCTATGAAGCGGACACCCTCTATTAAGCAGACACTTGGGAAGGTCCCAAAGGTGCCCGCTTAGTACAGGTTTCACTGTAATTGATACAATAATAATGTAATAGTAATGATTATAATTATTATAATTTACATAGTTAGACAAAGAAATATTTTTAAACTTTCAGTATTCTGAACATCACTCATGTTCTTAAACTACTGTTGTAAATGGTAGCATTAATATGTATGACCTTTAGTTTGCACAGAACTTGAGCAGGGGAAAAAATCCCAATTTCCATCAGGTACTGTACAGAACCTCTGTTAACCAACACCTCCTATAAGCTTACATGCACCTCTTACTAACAGACACTAATCTGGGTTCATAGCCATTAATTTCTATGTTAAAATCTGCATTAATCCAAACTATTGTAAGTAAAGACATCTTTTCTTGGTAACAAACATCCATATAGATCGGTCAAATCAGACCTAATACTCTTTGCAGAATAGTTGCCCACATGATTGATCATAGCTATAGCAAACACTCCCCTCTCTATGGCAGTGGTGGATCTAGGGGAGGTGCCCAGGGGGCTCGGGGGCCCCCCTTATTTTTAGACCAAACTGAGGCCCGAAGGCCAAAAAAAATCTTTTTGGAGAACACCCCCCCCTTATCTCAGGGTCTGGATGACCGCCCCCCCCCCTTAGCTGAAGGTCTGGACCCCCCACTGTATGGGGCACTTCGGTTGAACAGATGTCTTTCACAAGCAGCATAATTCCGGAGTAATTTGGTCAACACTTTGATACTAAATAAGAAAACAAATTAACATATAGATTGAGGGAGAAAGGAGAATCGAGAGTGCACCAAAAATCGACCCACCGGTCAAATCACACACTCAATAATTAATGTACAAGAAAACTGAAGGGAAGTTTAATGATGATCAAACAAGGAAAAACAATCTTACTAATGAATAATTACTTTTCCATGTTTGTTTTTGCTTCATGAAATTAAATAGCATCTGCTCTACTTGATCAAATGACAGACCATTTTCTTTTTTTCAAGAATGACATGCCTTTACTGTAAAAGTAGTTGAAGGAACAATTACAGCAGAAGAGGCTTTAAGGTACACTTATAAAGTAATACTCAAGCAAGACCTCGAAGAAATCAGGGAGTGGGGATTATTTACAGAGAGTGAAGGGCTAATGCAGATGGGAAGATACCATTTCCAAATTCTTTGGACCCTCCCCCTTTCACTTTTTACAGAACATATTTTTGACAAAACAATTCGCAGCCAAGTCAAAACTCTGAGGGGTTACTTAAGTTAAATTAAAAATATTGATTCCACCATTCATTCATTGATGTACTGTTAAAGAAACGTATTAAAAAAAAAAAAATTGAACAAACTAATTGACCTGATAGGCAACCTTTCCCAAGAAATAACTTGCAGATATCATGTAGATGAAGACTTCATAGTATCAATGGCTTCGAACCAAAATGCACAGTTTAAGCACATTTTCATTTGCAACCTTAATTACAAAGCATAAAATAAGTGAGCCTAAATAAATAAATAAATCGGACAGAATTTATGTAAACATGGCTTCAGTGAGTGTCTACAGGTCCTATGCTAACTGTGTCCTTGGTTCCAAGACTTTGATCCTCCCCACCCAGGACAATGGGTGACTGTCTGTGCCTCCCACTGAGCTCTGCAATTATTAACAACAACAACAACAACAACAAAACTTTATTAATAAACAAATAAACTTACAGAAGTATTGCCCGCAGCTAGCAAGGATATTCAAGGCTGGACAATGCATGCAAAATATCAAAATAGAGACTAACGCTATTAATATTATCATTCTCATCAGAGGCCTGATTCAGCTCAGTGGCTAGGGCAAATTTAGAACAAGGTACTTGCAAGTCAAAGCCACTAGTGTACACTGCTGCTTACTGAAGGGGTTGTGTCAAAATAGCCCCCTCCCTACCCCACTAATTTTGGCCCTCTGGCCTGATCCACCCACCCACTGTTAGGGCAGTCCCTGGGCTATCCAGCTAAACAGACCAAGAAGGCAAGCCCCCTACCTTTTTGGACACTGGACTGGCCTGGTGCCGGGCTGTGCCTGGTGCCAGGCGAAACCCTAGTGACCAGTCATTTTAACCAAATCAGACAGAAATATTATTAAATAATATTATTATTACCGCCTCATATTTTGCGCATTCTCTTGACCTTATATGGTAAAATGACATAATAGTGGGATAATAAATAACAATATTGATCCTTCTCCTCCAATGTGAAATATAAGTATGGCGATTTTTACACTGTACATGTATTCAATAAGGAAAGTGATAATGTATAATTGTCACCTAGATACACAGCCTGGTGATCTGGGGCCATTCAGAGGATGTTATTCAGTAACATCCACTGAGAGGTCCTTTTCCCCGCGGAGTAAGAAGAGGCTTGAAACATCAAAACATCCTTTAAACGGAGGCAGTGGCATCTTCTTGTTTGAATTGATTGGAATCAATCGTGGAATGATCGAAAAAGTGGGACAAAATCTCTCACCAAAAATCAAACAAGTCGAATATAGCTGAATATAGACGATCGAAGTGCAGATGAATCACATATTTTAAACTTAGAGGCGAGCGCGACGTCATACCTTTACGAAATCCGACCGAAGATAAGAGGGCCTTTCGACGGATGTTAACGAGTTTCCATCCGCCAAACTGACATTTTCCTCTCAGTGGCTCTCACAAGACATTTCACTTTCCTTACATGAAATTTCTCTGTCTCTTGAAATTTCTGTTCATAAAAGTCTAAGTCTCTTTAATTTTTATGGAAAAAAAAAATTCAGGATCTCCGATCTCGGAGCATCGGCTTTACAGTGCATCACTTTAACCCCTACACAACCCAGGATTTGCGGACAACGAATGGTTTGATTTGAATATATATAGCAACAACCCTAACCCTAACCCTTACTTTGTGTACGAATCATTAATCTGTCAACGTCAGCTTGGCGGATGGAAATAAGTGCTGACGTAACGAGTGTTGACCGTCTGATGCAACCCAGTCGTAACTAGGCAAGTTGCATCGATATTCGTCCGGGTTGCATCAGTATTCTGAGTCGTTCAACAACAGAATCCAAAGATTGCAGACTACAGAGAGTAGACTACGAAAGGAGAGAGAGGGAAACAACATGCAAAGATTTTCTTGTTTTCTTATTCAGTTCACAAAAATGTAAGTATTTTGCATGCGATCATCATCTTATCTTTAACTCGTGTCTAGATACCCGGCAACCGCGAACTGTATACTCGGCAGTCAGAACTTTTGACCAATTTTCTCGAAATAGCTCGTTTAATTCCTCTAAGAACATAAGATATTTGTTTAGAAATACCAAGCGATTATAAATATTGCCTTGGGTTAAAAGTAGAAGCGACTGTCGAGCTTGGGCATAGAATGAAATCTCAATGTTTTCAACACTTAGAAAATATTCAAGTTCTGACACACTAAGTCAACTCCCGATTAATATCTACAGAAGACCACAGAAATTATCAGCGAAACCTCACCAGAGTATTTAGTGTTTGTTCAGAAATGCCAAGCGATTCTAAATAAAGGTTTCGTGTTGTTGTGAACAAATTCTCCGCGCTTGCATTAAGCATATTCTTTAGAATCTTGACTCACGGGTACGGTTTTCAAAATACTAGATGCCCGGCAGTCGGAAATTCACGTCCGATTTACACGAAATATCTCATTGAATTTGTGTAAAAACATCAGAAAGTTGTTTAGAAAACTCAAGCGATTTCAAATACTGCTTTGGGCTTGAAGTAGGGGCAACCGTCGAGCCCGTTTAGACTTTCCCCCTCGCCCCCACTATCTGCCCCTGGGTCTCTGAGCATGATTCAACCAGCCACGTGCTTTAACATTAAAACGGCGGTTGTTGCGAAAACTAAGACCCCCCGAAAACTAAGACCTAAGACCTAAGACCCGAAAACTAAGACCCGAAAACGAAGACCCGAAAACTAAGACCCCCTTATTTTCTTTCGTCTCAAATTGTCTACTCAATTAAAGTACCTGCCAATTGAAAATTTCGACCTCATGCTTGTGTTTTTTTGCTTTATGGTTAGTGAAAACAAGGCTTTTTACATGTTTTTATGAAACGCATTTTACAGTTGAGTTGTCTGATTGTCTTAACACCAATGTTATGTAAACTTCCATTGCTACATTTTGTGCAGTCTCTAAGTGTCCTCAACAATAAGATGCTTTAAAAAAGCTTGATCATTTGTCACTAATGTAGTTAAATTACATTGTGTTTTTTTTTTCTCTGACTTCAGTAGAGACATCATTGCTGGTGGTCTGTAGTGTTGGAGAAACCTGTTGCACAAACTAGCACTCTTGAAAAGTTGTGGCTGCCTCGCTTAGTGAGTCAAGTAAGTGAACAACAGTGAACAGAGAAAATATTATTTAACCAACCTGCCTCTTGGACAAAATGGCATCAGCAGCCCCTTTGTCTGACTTTGAAGAATATGAACACTTAAAAAAAAAAGTGATAGAACAAAAGAAGCTTCCTGGAGAGGTCAGTCCAGCTGATCTGTACAAACTGGCCGTACTCATGTCGCGATGGGCAGCAACTGATCGCCTGCCAATGTGTCTCCTGTGTAGACAATCAGATAAGAAGCTCAAAAAAGGACACATTATTCCACATTCAGTACTAAAAACTCTAGAGAAGAATGGGGAACGAAGGTACAGGTACATGGATGTATTTCGTGGAGCAGAATTCAAAGGAGCGTCCAGCTGTGCATTCTTCGTATTTTGTGGAGATTGTGAGGAAATATTTCAGCAAGGTGAAGGCTTTTTTAATGATAGGTTTTTTAAACCATTGTGTGGAAATGTTGGTGGCCAACATGAAATTTTAGTCACAGAAACACGATCAGAGACCTCTTTCTCTTGGCTTTACTTCTGTTTAATTTCTATCATTTGGCGATCGTTGTGTTTCCATCCTAGTATTAAATATAACGAGACATGTATTAAAGTACTAGAATACTTACGAAGTTACCTGTTAGACTGGAAGAATGTAGAGATAGACAGCAGAGTAAAGTTGTTCCTATTTGCTCCGAATTGTGAAGTTGATAAGAAGTTAGAAGCTGGCAGTGAAGTTAATAAGGTTTTTTTTTACGGATGGAACTACTTTGTCATAAATTTCATTAAGATTGTCGGAAACCCAAACTTTCTTTCAGGATCGCTTTTCCTTGGCCCTTTGCACGTATTAATGTTGTACAGTGAAGACAACTTCGCTTGTTTGGAGGGCTTTGAACCGTTTGAGAAGTGGAAAGAAAATAGTTTACTTACTCCAGAAACGAATGAATTCACCATAGCAGATAAAGAGGGGAGGGTTTTTCCGGTTATTCTTTACGATAAAATCATTGAACATGGCACGCTAAGTGCGTCAACATTCACTAGTCGACTGCCATCAGCTGACCAAAATTACAACAATTTACCAGTTGTGCACGTTGCCTTTGCGCATTATTTGCCAAAGGATATATCTTATGACAGGAAGAGTGACCGGTTTACCTTTAATACGAACATGTTTGTAGCGAAAAATCAACGGGAACTTAAGATGAAAGTTGTCCAAGAGGAATGGATGGCAAACAAAGAGCAAAGTTTATTTGTTTCTGTAATTCAAGATGTTGTTAACGGTATAGATGAAATTGCCATGGGCTTATATGTAAACACCGATGGGGCTGTAGAGTTCATGAAAGGTGTAAATGTGAGTTCAATCGTTTGGACTCCAAATGATCCTCCTTTTAAAAACACAATCGAAGGGCTCCTTGTCGATTTACCGACTGTAACTCTGACTACTAAACCCAAAAAAGAAAAAACAAATTCCGGCGATACATCTTATGACAGGAACAGTGACCGGTTTAATACGAACTTGCTTGTAGCGAAATATCAAGTGGAACTTAAGATGAAAGTTGTCAAAGCGGAACGAAAGGCAAACAAAGAGCAAATTTTATTTGTTGTAGTTCCAGGTGTTGTTAATGGTACAGGTGAAGTTGCCATGGGCTTACATGTAAACACCGATGGCGCTGTAGAGTTCATGAAAGGTGTAAATGTCCCAAAACGTTGGAATTCAAATGATCCTCCTTTTAAAAATACAATCGAAGGGCTCCTTAGAGATTTACCGGCTGTAACTCGGAGTACGGAACCCAAAGAAGAACAATCAAATTCCGACGTTTCAAAATAGTTCAACAAATGCGATGGGTAAGAGACCTGTTTAACATACCTTTTATTGTTGTTTTGTAGTAATATATTACATAACTGTTACAATGAAAGCTTTTGTCCCTCGTGGTTTGTGTACGGTAGGGTTCGCTTATCGTTTTATGTTACATGTACACCGTAGTCTCTCAGTTATTGACTGCGATGTTTCGATAGCCTGATTCTCAAAAGTCCGAGGTCTTTCGCGGTCCCTTCGCTAGAGGGAGAGAAGCAAAGGGACCGCGAACAACCTCGGACGTCTGAGAATCAGGCTAATGATTCGACTGCTTTTCACTGGTCTTCCTTATAGCGTGGCCGATTACTCTTCCGCGAATGTCGGTGAAAAACCGGTAAAGATGCAAAAACGTGGAACACTACAATACCCTTAGATAAAAACACTTGCAAAATAATCTGTAAATCAGTCAGAACGAGTTGTAAAAAGACTAAATTGAAAGAATTTCAATTCAAATTTTTACACAGAATAATTGTCAGGAGAAAAGAACTCCACAGATTTGGAAGCAAACCTGACAGAGCTTCCTTATGCTGTGGTGAAAACGACTCAATCAACCACACGTTCATTCACTGTGGCTTTTCGAATCACTTACTGAGAACGTTATTCGTTGGTTTAATGAATCCAACAACTGCAAATTTATACCGAAAACGAAGGAAATTTTATTTGGCCTTTCCAACACAGCGAGTACTTTAAACAGGAAATTTAATTACACCTTACTATTCCTCCGCAATTATATTTATAAGTCTAAATTAAGCGAAGAAGCTCTACTCCTCCCGGAATTTGTTAATGCAGATCATAAAAGACAAGAGAAATGCCTCTGCTGTGTGTTTTTTTTTTTTTTCGTGTCTACGATAAGAATAATCAGCATTAGATATCTAGTGTAGTTAATGCAATTATATCAACAATATCTAATTATTTAATGTATTCATCATGTAACCTTTTTCTTTTCCATTTATTTACATGTATGTAAATATTTTGTACTTTCTGTGTTGTAATAAAGTATTGGAAAATAAATAAAGAAAGAAAGAAAGAAAGAAGAGAAAAAGAAAAAAAAAACAGTAAAGGAAGTGTCTCTTCACTATTGCTTAAAAGGGCTAGTTCATGCTAAAACGATTATTTTAATGACGCCCTAATACAATTTAGGGTAGTTTATTAAAAACGTTGGGTTGACGTTCAGGTTGTGAAAACCGCGGTTTACCAGAATGCAACTCATGTTAATTTTCTTCCCAAGGGCGAATTCAGGGGTGGGCCCAGGGGTTCCCGGCCCCCTCTTTTGTCCGAGAATTTTTTTTCTTTTGTAAACGTGTCAAATCCAGTTTGTTTGAGACGGATATTTACTTCATGCATTCTGGGAGCTTTGGTCATTTGCGACTAAAAATGTAGGCTTCGAACACAGATTCTTTTCTTGAATAAACATTGTTAATAAGAAAAGAATCTGTGTTCGAAGCCTACATTTTTAGTCGCAAATGACCAAAGCTCCCAGAATGCATGAAGTAAATATCCGTCTCAAACAAACTGATTTGACAATTTTGAGGGGAGACAGTGCTGCCGCCTTTGCCTGGAGGTTTTGCTCTCGCCGCAAGCTAGCGTCTTAAAGTGTTAATTACTTCTTTGACCATGACCACAACCACACCTGTGGTTTATTAAATATTTCAGCATTACATGTTCAATAAGGAATCCAGGCATTTGCTAAATTTAAGCGTCCAGAATGCCCTACATTGCATCTCAGAGAACTTCAATTTCAAAAATTTTCCCTTTGAAGCTTGCGCCCGAAACTCCCTAGAAAAGTGCGCCGTCCTGATGGGTGCTATAGCGCCCATATTGCCACTGTATACTATATCTCTAGGCCCCCTCTATCACAAAATCCTCCGTCCCCCCCTGCTCCCGGTTTGTGCTTGTGTGCGTTCTTTATGCTGTCCTGTTTTTTTTTTTTTTTGAGAACTGAGAAACCAATCACCTCCATCAGCTTCAATATGACTTTTATGGACTTTTCATACAATTTCACTCTTGAATGGGTATATGTTTCATGCATGTACATGAATAACTACTGTACACTTGCATAAACTATTTAGTACTTTTTACAGAGATTCAGTGCTAATGAAGGCCTTCATATTCAATGATCATAAGTCATGATAACTTTCATAATCCTCATGGCAGTGAACTGCATCCACAATGACATTGCTACATGTAACTTCTCTTTCAGTCAATATGTTTTAACCTTACTGTTACAAACAATAGTTGTCAAGTGTGATTATGTACAAATTCAAGTACAAAACTCTCATTGCTCTAGTTCACTAACTATAAATATTTTTTCTCCAGTAACTGGTGTTTACTTGTTGTTTTCACTACAGCTTTACTCCTGCCATTTCATGCACTCATGAATTTGATACTCATGCAGTATCAAAAACGACTTCATCTGTATCTGAGGTCTATAGCATATACTACTACTGACACCCTTCAAAATAATTATTGCAGGATTATTATAGAAGATGGCACAAGTTAGCTGTTATTTAGCAAATGCCACCTCATATTAACCTACAGTCACCCACTATCACACCTATTTCCTTTTGAAAATAACTACACATGAAGGAGGGTCAAATAGGGTGAACACGAGACCTACACAACTTTGTGTACGCTGCCTTAATATTAGCAACCCCATTTAAATCCCATATCATTTTTAAAGACAGGGCACTCGGTTCGAGTTTACTCCACCAAAAGGAGATTGCGTATATCTCTGCTTCCAAAATTACAGCCGCTGTTGAAACCCGCCCTCCCCAGTTACACGATTTACTCTATTTCTCTCCCTCCCTCCCATCCCTTTCATTTTACGAGCCTCCTTCCCCGAGCTCCGCGACCGTCTGCGAAACACGTACATGTATTTCTAGTTAATGTTTGCGCGGCAACTGAACTGAACTGCTCTGGACCCTGTGGACTCGAATATCCCATGCAAGGCAGTCCCTTCTACACTTAGCGACGTTTTTTACAGCAGTAAGGTCAGTGGAAGATCAGCAAAAGTTGGGGGAAGAGAGCTACATTTGCAGATGTCATGGAAGCACATGACACGGACTCGAACCCAGGCCCTCCCCTCCTAAGAGCTAACCAGAAGGCTTGAATAGAAATTACCATTCAAGTTACAGCTGTTACATACATACATAAACTTTATTAAAGTGTCAAGGTATTTAGCTAAAAGCTAATTGTGGACACTATAAATAAATAAAATGAATATAATATAAGATTAAATCAAGTATATGTAAAAATATTAAAAATATATTCTTAAAATATCATTAATATATAAAAATAGCATCAATATATAAAATTATTACTGACAAACAGTAGGACAAACAGGGAACAAACAAAGACAAACACATAGATAGACAAAACAGACAATCAGATAGACAGACAAACAAACAGACAATATAGGACAAACATATAAGCAGCAGTAAAATATAGATACAAAATTCAGAAAGTTAAAAGTCTAGAAAATTTAAATTAGACGAATTAAATAGGGATAGGGGAGCACACCCTCAATACACCAGGCAGCCACACCGCAGAAGCTACTATGCATACCCACCACTCTAAGATGAGCATGCACAGCAGCCACACCTGCCGTCCAACAAGCCAAGCACATTGAGAGCACGCACCCCTCTCCTGAATGCCTGAAGACTGGTCTTACTGCGTAGTTCCTGGCTTATCTTGCCCCATATGTGTGGGCCTAAATATCTGATACTGTGCTTGCCATACTTAACAGATTTATATCTTGGAACAGGAAAATCACTTCGTAAGTTATAATGCTTATCTTGCTTAAAAAACATATTACATAAATGCTCTGGAGCTAGTGAATTTTTAACCTTATACATTAAAATTAGTATATCTTGTAACCGTCTGTTCTCAAGACTAGAGAGTCTTCCCTTCTCTAGGAGTTCCTCATACGTAACATTCCTATCATTATATACAGCACGTAATGCACGTTCTTGTACTCTTTCTAATTTTCTTGCATCAGCTGCCTTGCAAAAATGCCACACTATGTGACAATATGTTAAGTTAGGTAGAATTGCTGATTTGTACAATTGTAACTTGGCTTCTCTGGGAATCATATTTCTAAGACGTACTAGAAGACCAACTTTCTTACTTGCCATCTTGCATATATCACTTATATGAGTACTAAAACTAAGTTCATCATCTAATGTTACTCCCAGTAACTTCAAGTCTGGTGATGATTTAATAACCTGTTCATCAATCTTGACATTGATAGATGGACTGTCCTCATTTTTGTTCTTCCTGCCTAATAACATTAAATTGTACTTGTCGTAATTTCCCTTCAGAAAGTTATCTTTGTACCATTTTGATATAGTGTGCCCCCCATTAGTTAAAAGTTGTTCCATGCAGTCAACTGAATACCCCTTTACATACAGCTGATGATCGTCAGCGTACATTGACAAGCTTGCATTATTTACTATATACGTCATATCATTTTGAAAAATGTTCCACAGTAAGGGTCCAAACGATAACCCTTGAGGGCATCCTCTAACATCATCCTTAAACTAATGAATATATTACAACTAATGAATAGTTTGGGAAAGATCAATCGCTTGTTATCGTGGTATTGGTGCATCAGAAAAAATATTTCAATGAACGACGCAATCTGTTAACTTCACATCACTGGGGGACATTCCTTGATTTCTTCTTGAGTTGCCTTTTTGTGTTTTGTTTTAGTCAAACCGCGACCGACCTCTGTGAGGAAGTAATAGGCAACACTCCGCAGTACATTGCTCTATTGAAGTTGCTTGACCTGTTGATATGTCTACTCTAATCCAGAGGTGTCTAGCCTTACAATGCAAAATACAATACTGCATTCACGAAGTTAGTTGAAAAATACTACAATTTTATGTATTGACATCTGCATTGAGACTGCTTGTCCGGTGCGTCCTTTCACTCGCTACTCCAAGCCAATATTGGTTGTCCTGTCGCAGAAAGAACAATGAAACTCGATTACTTTAGCCTTCTTGTTTCATTTACGGCACGTGACGCCGTCGCCATTTGAATCAAGATAAAAAGCCCGCCATAGAACTTGAGAATCCGTTGTCTGTAATTCTGCCATTATCCCAAGCACATGACTCACATTTGATATAGCCACAAGTACACTTGAGAGAGAGAGTTTCCAACGGCATTGCTTCACGTCGCTGTAAGTAGAAACAGCAATTTTCAAAATTGGTCAATAATTTATAAAAAGCAACAAATTCCAAACCGTAACTACAATCAATAACCGCCGGGAACTGAGGAAAGCCCCAGCGACATCAGAACAAGTAGCCTTCCCGTACCAATTTAGTATTTTTGCCTATCCATTTTTATGAATATTTATTTTGCATGCGTAACCAATGTTTCCACACGAATACCTATTCTCAATCTCCCTCACTTCCTTACCGCAAAGTTTGCCTCCAGGGTTTTCCTTGTAAATCCCTTGCACCCAACTCTTAGCATTTTTCCACCATTATTAAAGAGTCTGCAGCCTTTCCTCTCAGAAATTGAGGATATGGAATGGAGTTTTTGACGAGTGAAGAGGATGAATGTAACAGTGACTGGGACAAAGATCATTCACTCATTTCTTAGCAGTAGATTGCTTGATAGATTTGATAGATGGCTACATTTCACAGTCGTTGGTCATTTTTAATAGTATAAGCCTTTCAACTTCCTTTTGCCAATTCTCAGAATTCTTAACTTCCGGTTTTGCTTTCCGTTTATATGCAATTATATTGCTGTATTCTCTGGTGTTATGATTATCTTTCTCAGGATTTCAAGAAAAAAATGCTAAATATGAAAGAGGACTA